TTCTTGTGTAGTTGTCCAGCTTCTTGTGTAGTTGTCCAGCTTCTTGTGTAGTGGTGCAGCCGCTTGTAGGGCTGTTTGCCCTCAACCGTACCGTACCGTTAACTGTAACCATTGATGTGTTGTTACCATCACAACTGTAACCTATTATCCCCTTGATTTGCGTGTCGCTATATTCACCGTCAACCCGCAGAATATTTTTCTAGTGCTCCTTCAGTCATTGCGGGAACGGCACCTTTCTTAATGCGAAAAATTCTAAGAACGTTGGGGTTGGGGTTTTTACGCTTTTTTTAGATTGAACCCCCGAGTGTTAGCTGTAGAGTGAGTAGAATGTATTCTCTTCTCCCTTCACTAATATTTCCAATACTATTACTATACTGCTATACCCAACTACTATACCCAACTACTATTCCCAAACAATTCTGGATATGTGAGAGCTGGCGGGGAAAAATACTTCCCAGACACTGGTGCTAATTATTACTGGTATACACAAAATTGTACGTTTCCAGATCTGGTTTTTGGTGGCTTTGACCTGTACGCAAACATCCCCTTATGTCCGGTTATTGCCCCAGGCAGTGATGAACAGTGGTCAACACACAGCCGGGTCTATTATGCTAATAAGATGCAGTCCAGCGCTTTCGCAGTCCTAATGCGCTTCCAGTTCTCACTGAAAAAGACAATTATTTTAAGCTTAAAGACAGGCGGTAGTAGCCGTGGATATGGCCAACTGTCTTCTGTGTAAGCTATTGTCTCGTTTGCTTCTGCAAATTTTCTCTTCTTTTCTCTCGCAGCACACGGCGAGTAAACGGCACCAGGACAAGCAAGCGGGAAGGCCCGGCAAACCGAAATTCAAACCACGGTTCTACAGTAACAGGTCCAAGGTAATTGCACAGCGTTGAATGCCACAATGCATGAACTGTATGCGATTCGTCGTGTGCCGGGTGAACTCGTTCACTTGTTGCCGCGCCGATATGAATTATAAAGAGCAGAAATACGCAGGCACTTCGGAATTTAATTGCTTGCCAATTAAAATTCTGCGAGGTTCCAAATATGTCACCTTAAGTGCATGCTTGGTTCAGGATCAACGGTGCTGTACGTTGTACATACGTAATACAGCGTACGACAGTTTTAGTTCTATAGTACGTTGCGTCGATAAAATGAAACCTGGCTGCATTGAGAAATTTACAAAGCGATTTTATGCTATGCATGATTGCAGGTGACAGTAAAACGCCTGCGTGGAGAACGTATAAATGATTGAAATACACGTAAAAATAAATAAATGATGGCAATACACGTGTGACTAATAATGGCCTGAGCCCAGTTCCACATAACTATTCTAGATGGACAACGAATATCAAATTGAGTCAAAACCATCTCCAATAAACTGGGGGGGGGCTGTCAGATAAATCGGAAAGTTAATGTTAATACTAATTTTGTTACTGACAATGGGCCCCTAAATACGGGATATGTTTCGGTCGTTGCAGACGGTTGTTAATTAGTAGAGAGGTAGCAGCAATCCATCCGTGTGCCCACTTATAGTGAAACTAATCCCTGCTTTTACTGGGTTTTTTTACACAGGTGGAGGGAGGAACAAAACGATGCGCGTCACCACGCTTAGACCTGCAGACAACATTCATCAAACACGATGTGATGCTATGAAGAAAAGCAAACCGAGTGGATAATCATATTAATATTCTATTTATGCCATCCTTATGTTTTATATCGCTTGCGAGGAGGAAATATAGCACTGTATTTAAACTGTGGATATACGAGTGTATTACCGACCGCGGGAGGCTATCGCGTGGACAGGGATCATGATTCGGGAATCTTTTCGGGAAGCAGTGTGGCCGAGGCGTCCCGGTTGCAGTTGAGATGTGAGCCAGATTGATAGGTTTTGTACAGTGCCTGTGTCGTCTGATTCAGCCTCCGATAGCGCAGACATGATGTCAATTTCTGTACCAAGCATGCAAGAAGTCACACAATGGCCCCGGGCCCAAAGAGATCGAGTGAAGAGATCGAAAATGGCACACCTTTTACGTTGGCCAAATATCACATTCCTCCCCTCTTCCCACCACACCTAAATTTCACATTCCCCAACCATAAAATATCGCATTCCCCCCCCCCCCCTTTCCCAGCCCAATGCTGCCCACCCAAATAGCATCTCTACTTCATTTCCTTCGCTTACAGCGATGCACGGTCTTAGAGGCGTGTATAAACTTGCGGTTGGCTGGCGGGATTTCGTGAGGCAGCGGCGGTGATGCTGGCCTTAAATATGCGGCTCCTGTTGCGCTTTGATGGTCGCACGAGTCGCCGTTTGCTACACTCTCCACGCCGTAGTTGTTTTGTCAACTGCATACTTTACGCGTTTTTAAACCTGATAATCAAAACTCCTTAAACACGGGCTTCATCGACTGTGCCATTTTGGTTTCATTTTATCAACAGCTAATGATACATGTATTACAATGTAATACAACGTGTTATTAGCTCTTGATTTTATTTTAATTATCTTAGCCAACAGGCGAGGTTACCGCCTATGTCGGTTTCATGGACCACGCGTGGCATTGTAGACAATATCTTTTTTGTGGCAGCTAGCTCTGACAGCATGTGTCACGACATTTTTACACGCGATCTGTGTAGTATGCCTGTATTCTAGTTTTAGTTTTAATTTCCCAAGGATATCCTGTCAACAGTGCCTTCTGCATTGAACCCTTCGAAGAGGGCTTGGAGTCTTCTTCGGTTTATGTTGTACGTCAGAAGATGCTGAACGTGAGATGCTGCTATGAACGCTGGTGATGCCCTTTACCACGTGTAACATCACCGTGTAGATTTTCTCGAGGAATATCCCTGAGGCTATATCAGCAAGGCAGTAGAAGGTGCACCACAGGGTGCAATTGGAACAATGTAGGTACCTGGTATCAGTAAGTCTCTGACTTGGAAACACATGGGAGAGAGCAGAAGGCGGGCATTGTTTGTGCATTGCAGAGGCGTGTTTCTTTCCCTACTTCGTGCCACCAAGAGGTTGCCAAGGCCCACCCTATATTTTCTGTTGTCCACGTGATCATGGTATGGCAAAGTAAGGCCTATAGTTAATTGATTTGAAATGTGTTATAACTACAAGGTCATATTTATTTACTTTAATTGGTTATTTAAAACTTAGTTATCCTGCGGTCGTGTTGATGATATTTTTGTATGTATGTCTCATTTTGATAAGTTTCAAGTTTAGCAAGGCAGATTCAGTAATCGAGGTGGTTTGGACCCAGCACCCCCGCCCTGAAAGCTAGCATACGGATAGATAGCTTGGTATACAGAATGCTTTGCGGAATTCTTTACGAAATGCGATGTTCGGCTGTTCATTTCGCAAACGTGAATGCTGCATATATTTAAAATACTGCACAATGCGAATTTAATATGAATGGTGCATTTCACCCAAACATAGAGTAGTGGGTGTCGTTTGGGGTGGGAGTATTATACCCTCAATCGGGTTCTTATTTGCAGATGTTTTCGAGTTGATGAGGTAGTATTGTGGCGGACGCGTGGAATCAGTGTCTGTGGCGCCCCCTAACGGGGAGGATCAATTCGCTGCAAATTACGAGCTATCCACTTGTCCGTCTAGTAATCACATGAACAGTGCACCTAACACGAAGTGCCAAAAACGTTTTTTTCCTGACCTTTACTTAACATCTCAAGCTTTTATTGTTTAATACACGCAAAGAGTGACGAGTTTGCGATTTCTCCCTGCGCGTGTATGTGTATGTGTGCACTCGAGGGTGACCACCCCGTCTTTCCTCCTCGCCATTTGGAATGACCGGCCGTAGAAAGTCTAGTCTACTGATTAAGCACGCTGACTGAGATTCCCATGTAAGCCGTTGTTGGGACTAAGTGAATGGTAAGCTAAAACAAATGCGGGGAAAGTTTTAAAGCCGTGTATATAAAAATGAAACGCTACAAGTGCCATTACGGAGATATTAGCATTGCTGACGTTATCCGCAGTGGAACAGCAGTGTAGTTCAATTTCTCCATAAGTTACAACTAATGTAGAAATTGGATAGGTGTGCACCGTATAGCAGGTACCTTATATTCGCATTATTAAGGGTATATAACGAAGTTTCTATAAAACAATTGTGTACATTTTGTAAAGTGTGCATATCTCTATGAAATAGCGTGACGTTTTTATCACTATAAGAGTTGACATTCAACTGTCATGAATTTAATATACAATCATTAGTATGCACAAGGAGGTATTGCCTGGTGTGCTGAACAGTAGACTTCTAACATCTATAGATTTCACGAAGGAATTCACGTAACAGTTAGGATCCGCAGTCCTATATTATGTATACACAAATACGTTCGTTCACGCTGGCGTACCACACGCGCTCGCACATGCATGCAAACACACACACACACACACACACACACACACACACACACACACACACACACACACACACACACACACACAC